CCACTTAGGATTCACCCCTTCCATAAGGCAGTCAGGGCCAGGCTGAGTCCTGTCTCTGCGTGAGGGTGGGCACTGGCCAGTCAGTGTGGCTGTCACCATGTGTGGGGCTGTGACCCTGGCTGCTCGAATGTGCCTCCTCTGCCCGGCCTTGCTTTCTGGATCCTGCAGCCACCACAGGCTGGCTACCTGCAGGGTGGGCTGAGGGGGCTGTGGCCCCACCCCCACCCACCTCTGGCTCACTGCAAAGACGGGGCTCCCAGGGTGACCGGGCCAGCGAGCACGGGCACAGCTGGGCTTGGCTTCCTTTTCCATCAAGAGCCCTTGCAAAGCAGGGGCTTCCCTGCAAAGGTTCGGCAGAGCCACGCCCTCCCCAGAACAGCCCGCCCCTCCAGGACGGACTCTTCCCCAGAATGGCCACCAGGGGGCTGCCCACCCCAATCCTCCTGTGGGGCTCTTCCACCTGGAACCAACGGGCAGGTGTTGAGGGCTGGACAGGAGCACAGCGTCCTTCTGTCACCTGTGGGGCCAGGGGGACAGGTCCGGGCAATATGCTGGGCCAGCACTCTGTCCCTGCACCGCTGCCCCCACCCCCACCTCCACCCTACCCCAGCCAGCCACGGGCCAAGCGAGGGCCGGAGGCACCACGTGGAGGCTGCTCCCACACTCGGTACTGCTCGTTCTCACCAGCCTGGGGCCGTTGCTGAGTGTGGGGAGCACGGCTCCACTCTCCTGCATGAGGCTCGGGAGCTGCCCAGGCCCCCGCAGGCCCCTTGGTGGAATGAATACAAGCACCTTAATTTATTGCGTACTTTCCTTGAGACCTTTGTGGGCCCTCAGCCTCCAAGGGCCCTGAGACCAGGCTGACCTAGACCTAATTTTCAATGGGGAAACTGGGGCCTGCAGAGGATGGGTCCCCCAGATCCCTGTGGCCGAGCAAGCCAGGCTCCTGGTGCCTCCGCCCAGTTCCAGCCAGCGCTGGGCACGTCCCCAAGTGAGTAGGACCGTGATGTCTGCCACATCTCACAGTTCTGCAGTTCAGCTGCGCCTTCCTAGGGACTTGGCAGGCTGTGGGCATCGGGTAGTTGGACTTTGGATACCCAGGGCCAGCCCAGTATCCTGGGAGCTTACTCTTCTGAGGCCTGGCGAAGCCACCAGTGTCCCTGCAGCATGGTCCCCATCCGAGGGTCAGACCCAGACATGCCCAGCGGGCTCAGGGTCAGCTGGGGGCAGACAGGATGCTGGCTCTCCAGCCCTTCGCTTCACAGCTGTCTCATGACTGTGAGAAACACATGGCGACTGGTGTTGCTCTGCTGGCCTTAGTGACCTCTGGCCACCCAGGTGCTGCCCTCTCTCCACAGGGAAAAGGGTCAGCCCCTGCAAGGTGGGCTTCCCTAAGGGTATGCTTCTTCCTTGCTCAGCCCAGCTGCTTTGGTGATAGGGGCCTGGCGAGCTAGGCCTCGGTGCGTACCCAGAGCAAAGCCTTGTGGAGCAGTGGCCTTGGTGCACGGGGAGCGGACCAGGCCGCTGCTGTCCAGGGTGGCAGGGAGGCTCCTCTCAGGGACTCCACATTCCTCTCCCCCTTTCTGGGGACAGCAGACACTGATGTCTTACGCTGGTCGTTTCTGCTAAAACCTGCTCTCATCTGGCTTGAACAAGCCCCCAGGACAGAGCAAGCCCCACTCCTGGCTTCCTCAGGCCTGGTCAGACAGTCGTGACTCTGCAGTGTAGCCTTTGGGAGCCTCAGTGTTCCCAGCTGTGAGACGGGTTAATACACAACATTGGCCCCATGGCTCCCAGCAGGCCTGGGCTGAGCCTGGCACACAGGGGTTGCTCCATCCTGGGCATTTCCAACCTTCCATGAACCTGCCTGGGAACTGAGGTTGCTTGAAGTTCAGGAACTGAGACGCGACGCGAGGGTTACCTCAGCCATGCAGGGCTCACACTGGCCACCTACGAGGCAATACAGAGAAACGGGCTAAGGTTTTCCGGAATTGCTCAAGGCTGAGTGTGAGCTACAAGCAATATGCGTATGTATTTAATTTTATTTATTTATTATTATTCAGGTCAGCCATGTGGGAGGCCAGCACCTAAACCACCACACCACCTGCCAGTCCCGCTACAAGCAATATTAAAGGAGCCTTTCAGGCAAAGGAGTATGACAACAGACAACATTTAGGATCTAAACAAGGAAATAAAGGCCTCTGGGAATGCAAACATGAAAGATAAGTTTAAATGACTCTTGGCTTCTTGTTTCAAATCGCTCTGTGATTTAATTATGTGAAGAAACATAGTGATTGCTTTGTGTTTTTTTAATGAATGAATTAATTAACAGTCAGTCACTGTACAGCAATACAGTATACAAAACGAGGCTTCCCATCCCGTACACACTGCATATCGGCTCAATCAGCGATAGAACCGTACGCGTTAGCATCAACAAGTAATTTCCCATTTCTTGTTTCTTGTTTCTTTTGCTCCCCCTCCCTTTGTTTCCCCACCTCTCACCCTCTGCCAATTCCCCCCCTTCTCCCACACCGTCTGGTATGTACAGTTGCTTTCCATGCCATCTTTTTTCGCATTTTATTGATTCACTAAAGATATTAATTTAAAGACTTTCAGTATCAAGCACAACTGATATATACATATCTATGAACGCATGTCTGACTTTAGGCGTAAAGGCCCATGAGTAAAGTGAACATACTATGGAGTAGCACCTCACTGGGGCTATATAGCTTACTGCAGTCATTAAATAGGTATTAATAGGTATTTTTTAATTAAAAAAGGTTTTAATAGAACAAAATTAAAAAATGTTAAGAGAAATGTGCTTAAAACTGAAAGCCAGGAAGAAGGTTAGGATTCAGTTCAAATAGTAGGTAGATGAACCTGTCTATCAAGAGTTAAAGGGAAGACAAAAATCCTTATATAGGGAAATCGAAGCATCGATGAAAATCGGTAATGTCCAAAGTAAAAAAATTGTATTTCACTGGCTCCGATTTATGTCATTCATCTCTCTTCTATTGAATTGGCAGTTGTTTCTGGGGTCTGATCTTTCCATTTAGACTCTGGAAGTTAACATTCAACTCTGGACTTGTCCCCACCATTAGGCTGGCTGTTCTCTTGGTTGTTTCTTGTTCTCTTATTTCTGTGTGTCTGACTTTAGTTTTCCTGGTATAGCACTCCCTTCACTGCTTCTTGGAGAGCTGGTCTCGTGCTGGTAAATTC